AATCACCTTTACCAGCAAAGACATGCCTATACTCTAAAAAGGAGCTTTTACCATTAATATATTCAAACTTCAAAACTTCCAGATGGTTGGTTTCCAATTAGGAAGAGGGAGAATACAATGTTTTCATGGATAGTAAGAAAAGCCCCTAACAAAGGATTTTATTTAATCCTATGTGGGTGGAAATCTCAGTGAAGAGGAAAAAAATCACAGAATCATGTTAAAGACAAATGAACAAACTTTCTTAATGCTTTAAAAAAGGAGAAATATACTAATTTTTAAAGTTTTGCCCAAACATGCATCACCATATTACAAACCAAACAGGTTATATGCTGCTTTCATAAAGTTAATTGAAAAACACATTTTAAAAAAGCATACTGTACATTAGTTGTATAACAGTGGTTTCATTGTAACACTTCCACGCGTAAATAAAGGTATCTTGACCAACCTCAGCCCTTCCATCACTCTCCTTCATTACACTTCCATTTCTTTTTCTTTTTTTTTTTTTTTGGTCGATCATGGGGCCTGAACTCTGGGCCTGGGCACTGTCCCTCAGCTCTTCAGCTCAAGGCAACAGTGCTCTACCACTGGAGCCACAGTGACACTTCTGGTTTTTCTGGTGGTTAATTGGAGATAAGAGTCCCACAGATTTTCCTGCCTAGGCTGAGTTTGAACCGTGATCCTCAGGTCTCAGCCTCCTGAGTATCTAGGATTACAGGCATGAACCACCAGCGCCTGGCTTCCACTCCCATTTCTTAAAACAATTTTAACAGGTTTTATTATTCTGTTTTCATATATGCAAATAAATTGTATGGACCATATTCATTGTCTTTACCATCTTCATTAGCTCTCTCCCTTCTCACTAGTACCCCATTACACCAGAGCATATCCAGTCTTTTTTTTAGTGTGTATTAAGGAATTTCACTGTGATATCTCAGATGTGCATAGATTGCTTTTCTCAGAATAATGCTCTCTATTGCTTTCTTTTACTCTCCTACCCCCTATTTCCTTTTTGATCAACAGCTTTCATTGAGGTTCCTTATGCTGTCTTCATACATAGTTGCAATCTATTTTGAAAATATTCACCTTTGGTCTTTCTTTTTCCCTCTCCACTTCACTCATACTCCTAATTTGTCCCATAGTAAGAATCATTGATGTTCTACATATGTATGAATTAAAAGTATGTATGAGTATATATGCATGTATGTGAATATTCATGTGTATTCATATATGTGTACATGTATGTAGACATTCATATATATTTATATATGTGTATATGCATATATATAGGTATCTATAGGTATAGGGCCTATATATACACATACACAGCTATATAGTATGTAGCCTATAAAAACAGCTTCTTAGCACTTCCTATGTACTATGGTTTAAGTTAGTAAAATAAAGACTCAGCAATGCAGATGAGAATAGAAAAACAACTTTGGAACAACATTGAAGTTATTACCATGAAAGTGATTAAAGTTGACCTAGGGAAGGTTTACTAGAATAGCATATTGTCTAAAGATACACTATTGGGTTGGACTGGCTGGATTTGATTTTGATACTCCTACATTTGCTTCTATAACTATGCAACCTTTCTTGTCTCAAGTGCTCAACTTAAAATAATGCCAAATTAATAGACTTCTCTTTAAGAAACAAGAAATTATAGGAGAGGTTCAAGTAGAGTATATGCACTACAGCACAAACTGCGGGTTTGAGATAGCAATAGGAGTCCTAAGACAGAAATAATTTCTAGTCTAATACCACATTTATGAGATCTTAGATCAATTCAAGGTAAAAAAAAATGTTCATCATCAACTTGTTGGCAGGCCCAGAATCTAAGTACAATGATCCTTTGGCCCCATTGCCCTTCAAGTCTATTTGAATTTGATGTCTGTTACATGGAGTAAGATTATTGACTAATACAAAATATAAATCAGGAGAGAAGATACAAATGGGAAGACAGGTAGCTTAAAGAACAAAGCTGGGTGCTGGTGTCTCACACCTGTAATCCGAGCTACTCAAGAGACTGAGATCTGAAGATCACTGTTCAAAGCCAGCACTGGCAAGAAAAGTCCATGAGGTTCTTATGTCTAAATAACCACCAAGAAAACCTGGACAGGGTGTTCAAGTGGTGTTCCACTGGCCTGGAGCAAGTAAAGTTCAGAAATAGTGTCCAGGCAGAGGGAGTGGGGGAGAGACAGACAGATGGAAGAGAGGGAGAGGGGGAGGGAGGAGAAAAGGAAAGAGAGAGGGAGCAAAGGGAGAGAGAGGAAGAAAGAGAGGGGAAGAGAGAAGGGGAGAGAACAGAGAAGGGGAAAGAAGGGGGGAGGGGAGAGAGGGGAAAGAGGGAAGAAAGGGAAGAAGAAAAGAAGGGGATGGGGTAGAGAGAAGGTGTGAGAAACAAGAGTCCTGGGAAAGGTGCCAATGTTTCCAGGGCTAGTCTGGTGGAGTAGGATTGGAGTTCGGTTAATCCTTTCTTGAGAATTAGACATTTATGGTTTCCCTTGACAGATGTGAACAACTGGTTGTAAAGCCACAATAAGCTAAAATAGGCTTGCTTCCAGGAGAAGACTCACCAAACTTTGGACTATAAGACATATTCCAGTGTGCTGGAGAAGACACTGGGACTTGTCTTCCATGAGGAACCACAAACTTAGTGGAGATGGAAAAGCCCCCAGTGTACCCAATATATAGAAATAAACACAGATCAAAGACAAAAGATGAAACTTTAATTTGAGAAAAATGACTTGTATCAAATAATAGTACATATATACACATTTTTAAAAAAGAATTACTGATTGTACTGATAAATTGTCACTCCCTCTGGTGTGAGCAGCACAAAGATAAAGGAAAGTCATAAAGTATCTGGAACAGGATAATGATGGGGAAGGCCTTTCCAGTTTACACTATTAGAAAACCATAAAAGAAAATATTGGGGATTGGAAGGTGGCACAGTGGTAGAGCGCTTGCCTTGCATGCATGAGGCCCTGGGTTCGATTCCACATAAGCAAAAAGAAAAAAGCCAGAAGTGGCACTGTGGCTCAAGTGGTAAAGCGCTAGCCTTGAGCTGAAGAGCTGAGGGATAGCGCCCAGGCCTAGAGTTCAGGCCCCATGACCGGATCCAAAAAAAAAAAAAATTATTGGTGTTTCTGAAAATGGTTATCTGAGAAAAACTCAAGTCCAATACATCTAAAATTGTTTCATTCTAGTTACTCGGGAGGCAGAAAGCAAGAGAATTATCATTCAAGGCCAGCCTGAGCAAAAATTTCACAAAACTCCTTCTGAACTAATAGCTGAGCACAATGATACATGTGGTCATTCTAGCTATTCAGGAGACAGAGATCAAGAGACTTGCAGCCCAGGCTTCCCTGGGCCAAAAAAAACCATCTCGAAGCTAACCTTAGCACACTAAGTATCATTATTCATACCTATAATCTGAGTTACAGAGGAGGCTGAGTTCCAGAGGATCATGATTTGCATCCAGCTCAGGCAGAAAAGTCAATGAGATTTCATCTCCAAAATACCACAAAAAGCTGATCTAGAGGCATGGCTCAAGGTGCTCTACCAGTGAAGCAAGCAAGCAAGCTGAACAAGGAAATGGCCCTGCGTTCAAACCCCAGTACCAACAAAAATTAAATAAGCAAAAAAAGGGCTTGTGGCATGGGTCCACTGGTAGAGTATATGTGCCTAGTGTATGTGAATTGAATCCCTGAGACTAACCCCAATGCTGCCAAAAAATTGGTAAAGGCAAAATGAGGCACCATGATTGATCCATGGAATGTCCAAGAATGTGCACCTTAAACATGTGTGCACATTCACATTTGGGACACAATTTAAGGCAGTTGTTACCTATCTATACAGTATATTAAAATAATCTGGAAAGGATCAAAAAGCCATTGTTATCTTAGTGCCAGCCCTAGAGAATCTGATACAGTTGGCTTGGGAAATGGTCTTGGTGCTCTACAGGTTTTTCCAATTTATAGAAGTCCAAAAACCACTGTGATCTAGGTAATGTTATACTGATTAGTGACAACTTTTGCGAAGGTACCGTCAAGCCCATTTTTGGTTTTATGAAAAATGTGAAGAAAAGGTTTATATGGAAAACAAAAGAAACTGAAAAAAATTTAAAAATTTTAAGAGAAATAAAAGCAAATAGGAAAACACAGCAGCAAGCCTATGACACAAACTCTGAAAAATAATTAGATTTGGAATAACAGAATTGCAGAGCAGAAAATAGAAACTTTTAGGTAAAGGTGAATAAAGGAGTCAAGAGCCTTACTACCAGGATCAAGAAATTGAATTCAGCTTGAGAGCCAATTGAGAGCTACCATAGGAGTGTATAAATGGCAACAACATGATGGAAACCGTGCTTGAAAATGAAACCACCAATAATAGCAATAGTAAGGTGGTCAATCCAATATATCTTTAAAAGAGTCATCTTCAGGGAGCTGTATTTCCTTGTTTCTCCCTAACAGGCATTAGATTTTTACTTTTATTATTTATGCCAGTCCTAGGGCTTGAACTCAAGGCCTGGACATTGTGCCTGGCTTCTAATCCTGATCCTCAGATCTTAGTCTCCTGAGTAGCTAGGATTGCAGCTGTGAACTATCGGCACCCAGCTCTAATAAGCTTTTCAAACTGCAGTGATGAAGTAAATACACCCACAATAAGGAAACGGAAAACTAGGTAATTGAATTCTATTTATGATTCAAGTTTACAAGCTAAACTAAGGTAGACCTCAGTTGTTGGTATATGTTTAAAGATTGGTGAGAAGCCAGGTGCCAGTGTCTCATGACCTGAAATTCTAGCTACTCAGAACACTGAGATCTGAGGCTCATACTTAGAAGCCAGTTTAGGCAGGAAGGTCCAGGAGGCTCTTATCTCCAATTAACCAGCAAACAACAGGAAGTAGAGCTGTGGCTTAAGAAGCAGAGAGCCAAGCTTGAGTGAAAAACCCTCTTTGTAAAGTGCTACTAAGAACATTATCCTGCTTCGAACGACAGCGACGCAAGAAGGCAGCCACCACAGGCTCGGGAGTAAAAGTTCCTCGCAATTTCTGCCTGTTGGAAGAACTTGAAGAAGACCAGAAGGGAGTAAGAGATGGCACAGTTAGCTGGGGTCTGGAAGATGACGAAGACATGACCCTTACCAAGTGGACAGGGATGATAATTGGGCCTCCAAGAACAATTTATGAAAACTGAATATACAGCCTTAAAATAGAATGTGGACCTAAGTACCCAGAAGCGCCCCCCTTTGTAAGATTTGTAACAAAAACTAATATGAACGGAGTTAATAGTTCTAATGGAGTGGTGGACCCAAGAGCCATATCCGTGCTAGCAAAGTGGCAGAACTCCTATAGCATCAAAGTCATCCTGCGAGAGCTCCGGCACCTGGTGATGTCTAAAGAAAACATGAAACTCCCCCAGCCGCCGGAAGGACACTGATCAAGATGGATTATATTTATAAACTGATTTATTGATTGCTAACCGTTTTTACAGCTACTTAAAGATAATAAATAATAATAAAGCAGTAAAAAGCAAAGTTAAAGATGTGACACAAGTAGAATAGGTAGAATGCCAGCCTAGGAAGTGTGAGACCTGAAGTTCAAGCCGTACTGTTGCCATAAAGATTAACAGAGGTAATATCCAAGCACTTGCTCTTTTCTCCCCCACCAGTTTCCTAGAATTATAAATTATGCATCAAAAGAGCTCTGGCTTATATTACAAAAGTATGGAAGGAAGGTTTGGAACTACTGGTATCCCAGGAAAGGCAAGTCTTTTCAACTTTTTTGCCTTTTCCCTGCTTTATTAGATATAGATTATTTTGACACAGCCAAAACTGTATTTATAACCTATGGATTATTAGACATTTAGGTTGGGCATTCAAAAGAACTTCCTACTATAAAAATCATTGAAACATCTAAAGAAAGTAGTTGTGGTGCTTTTCTATCATTCAAAAATTGATAACCAATTCACTTCTCACTTCTTAGGTATATAATTTTAGATGAAGGAATCTTGGTAGCAATGATTCTTTACCATCTGTCCAGAAAACCCATAATAAACAACCATAGAAAGGCAACCACCATCTCTGTAAAGTGAACTAAGCACAAGATTTAATTTGTTCATGTGCAATAAACAGTTTTCAAGGGAGACTCTAAAGTGAAGATTTTATTTCTCTGATCCTTTTGATCTCCTTAGTTTAAAGAGAGTACTGAGATAAGGAAGTGTCTAAAGCTACTACCAGACAATCAGGGTGGAAAAACATGTAACTTTATCCAGGAATTATTGTTTTAAATCTTCTTTGGCTCAAGATAATAAAACGTGTATCCCTTACGAGCTTTTTTCTAACGTCGTTTGATATAAAAATCCAACCTGCAGGATCTGTAGCACCCAAATGGTGAAAAATCCCACATTCAGTGGGTAATTACTCTTGGGACTCAGATCCTGCTGCCTAATGAGGATCCAAAGTCTAAGTCCAGTATATTATTTCGAAGTTTCAAAGGTCAGGTCACTTCATGATTATGTTTATCAGAAAGCCAAGATCATTATCACCATGGAATAAGGCAACCAGATCTGAAACAGCTTTGATCAGTAGCAGTGTCCACCATGACTGGCACTAAGAGGAAATTACAGCTCTGCAACCAAGGTGGTTAGAGTAGGGGCCTAGAATTGCTATATGCATCCCCCTTCCCCTGATGATATGGCAGCCTGCACTGGGACTAGAAGAACTCCTTAATGCCTGGGAAAATAATACAATGAGAGTAGTGATTCTGTGAAGGAGTATTTCAGAACAGGTCTCAATACCTAATGTTGGTTCCAAGGAATCCATAATGTCTGGTGCTTAAGGTCAGTTCTCTTACAACAATAACTTATTAAGCTAATGCTTTAAATTACTGAAATAACTATTAGTTTTCTTCACTCAACCTTCCTACAGAAATGATACTTCTCTGAAAAATATTAATTGTAAATGTCAATGTTCTCTTTGAAAACACTAAACATATACACAAGGAATAAGCAACTTTGTAACAAAAGAACTAACTAGTGTTTCAAAAGTGATGCCTCTTCTACTTATATGAGATCATGCTGCATATATGTACATATAAGAAATCAAAAGTAAGTGTTCCACACAGGTCTTGTTTGTAGTCTACCCTAACTGGGGAAAATGATCACTGCTGAGCCTTAACCAACTAGGATGAGTGTTTTGTTTTCTTTTGCTTTTTTAAAATTTTTATTTTATTGTAAAGATGCTGGAAGGCAAGTTGAATGAATGAATGGCTTCACTGCTAGGCATAGTTAGGAGCTATGAGTAGCTTCCACTCAATATTCAACTATGTACATTTTTCTCTATGAAAATTGGGTCAAAACTATTTCAGAAGGAAAAAAAACAAAGCAACAAAAATAAACAAAACAAAAACAAACTGTAGAGTAGAGAGTGACAAACAAGAGTTGCAGAAAGAATCGGGAATCCCAGGGGCATCTGCTTACAGTTCATTTCTAGGCTGTAACACTATCTTATTTGTATTTTTAAAGTTTTGATTTGGTTGCTATGCAAAGAATAGATTTTGCTGGAAGAAAATGTAGAACAAGTCACTATTACCATATGCAGGTTAAAGAGGACAGAATATTGAAACAAAAATATGGAGAAAGATTAAACAAAAGTGGGGTGTACTTTAGAGGCACAATCAATAGAATTTTCTGATTTGAGGTGAAAAAGAAAGCCTGGACTCTAATTTCAAGACATTGTCACTTGAGCACCTGGCTCTGGCTTGATGGTAAGAAAAAGAGTATGGAGACCAGCAACTGTGTTCCAATAAACAATACCATGCTAAAGCTTAGTTACTGAAAACTAAAAACTTTTAAACTAAGTATTAAATAGGCAGTTTTATATACACATGTTTTTCTTAGGGATGAGTCAGGGCTACAGATGGAAATTTTCAATGAATGGTGTTTGAAGTCTTAGGAAAGAGTTACATAATATAAGAAGAGAGCGTAAATAAGTATGAGAATAAGGTCAACACCAAGCAAAGGAACAACCAACTCAGTATTCAAAGGATGGGCAGCAATATCAAAGAAGTTTCCCATTAGATGACAACAAAGTGTTTTATAATCCAAAAATCAAGTTCTTCAGAAATGAGAGACTTAAAATACTTGGATAAAATATTGCTAGGTGAAACCCAACTACACACAAAGTATTAGGACAAGCAAATTATTGATCTGTGAACAGCACTGCCTCAGCAAAGAATTAATAGAAAGAGAAAAGCTGGAAAGTGAGAATATTTTTCTATAAACCTGGAAATATGAATAGAGGGAATAAGTGATTGGCGGGGTGAGGATATTTTTAATATCCAAGATATCAGAATACATCTCTAGTTCAATAATTGAGGAGGAGAAAGGCCTTACTTCAAGAAGAATGTCTTAATGGGCTCTTAAAATGCAGGCATCAAAAAAGGGAGGAAAATGAATGGAGAAGGTGAATGAAGATAACTATGGGTGAAGTAGCTTATTTACATATATGAAAATAGAATAATGAAACCTGGTTGAAATTGTTTTAGAAGGGGGAAGGGAGAGGGATGGATGAAGTAAGTATGATGAGGATACATCGTATGTATGTATGGAAATATCACAGTGAATTCCCCTCTCATGTACAATTAATCTATGCTAATAAAAATTGTAAGAAAAGAAAATGTGAATGAGATAAAAAGATCACACGGATGGTGTAGCATTCTGCCAGACAATTGCAACGTAACTTAGTGAGGGTCTGAGATTTGTTATAATGAAGAATGTGGAATATACCCTAAAAATGAAGGGATATAAGCATATGAGCAGTTGGATGATGGGTACAGAAGTATTAATGTCATATGAATATATTGGAGCTTTATTTATAGAACAAAATGAAATGATAGAGTGAGAGCAGAGAGTGAGTTTGAAAAATTGGTTGGAGATGGTCATGGTTATAATTGCAAGATAACCACTATTTTGAATGTTGAGTGGGAGAAACAGAAGATGACCCAGGGGCATACAACTAGGCAGACTTAGCAAAGATAGCAATCCTAAGCCCAGTCCTATAAAATTGGAAATAGATAATTAGGTAGGGAAAAAATTAGGAACAAGTCCTTGACCTATTAAACTGTATAGGGCATTTGGGCAGTTTATTAATTTAGTTGTTCATATAACAAACATTTCAGTGTTTTTCCAGGCTCTATTTTAGGGAATTAAAATACAGCAGTTGCAGATGTAGCATTTGCTTATATGGAGTTTAGTCAGAAATCAATAAAGCTAAGGATGGAAGGTGATAGAAGAGACCCCATGGTAGTTCTTGTATAAGTATGATGGCTTTCATCTTACTAGCAGAAAGAACCAATCAATTGAGAGCATTTGGGTGATAAAATGTATTTACCCTGTTCATTAAAAGCTGTCCGTTAGATTGGGTATATAGCACCATATTAGAACGTTTACCTATTGTGTACAAGTTTCTGGGGCCAGGCGCTGGTGGCTCACCCCTGTAATCCTAGCTACTCAGGAGGCTGAGATCTGAGGATCATGGTTCAAAGCCAGCCCATGCAGGAAAGTCCAAAAGACTCTTATCTCCAATAAACCATTCAGAAAACCAGAAGTGGTGCTGTGTCTCAAGTAGTAATACTGCTCGCCTTGAGCTGAAGAGCTGAGGGACAGTGCCCCAGCCCAGAGTTCAAGCCCCACGGCCGACCAAAAAAAAAAAAGTTTCTGGGTTCCATACCCACTATCACAACAAATACACACTGTTGTAAAGGAAATTAAAGCAAAAATGGTTAAGCTAAAAATAGTGTTTTTACCATTTTCCATTTATTCACAGAAATACTACTGTTGACATATCTATTGTTTCCTTAATGCACATAAATACTTATTAGATTCCTTTATACAATTGTGACCTTACAATGTGGATTGTTCTGTAATATGCTTTTTATCTCATGTACTTTGACTCAATTTTCACATAAGCACATATAGACCTAAAAACTATACACAAGGGTTTCATTGTGATACGTCCATACCTGCACATAATGTTCTTTAATTATTTCTACCCTTCTAATGTATATTCTTGTCTCCTCTCCTCACTTGTTTTCCCTTCCTCTTCTACTTTCCTAATAGTTCTCTCTTGACTTGTTTCACTTAGCAGCAGCATTATATCTTTGTTTATTTAACTTCTCATCTATTATTAGATACCTAGGATACCTAGTGTGTAACTTAAATATTTAAACAAATTCATTCCCTCAACACTGTATTGCTATTGTTTCCTTCTATCATCCTTGCAGTTTCAAACAGCACTGGGTTGGTTTCATAGGTAATTATTGTATATTATATATAATATTAACGATCCTCTTCTAAGTGTGGAATTTCTGAGACAAAAAAAATCATGCAATTCTCAAATTTTTTGCCAGTCCAGAGCTTGAACTCAAGGCTAGGGCTCT